CCTTGACCCCCCCAGCCAGGCTGAGCCTCCAGCCACCCCTGTCCTGGCCAAAAGCCACTCTTCGTCAATCATGCACCTTGCCTGCAAAGACAGAAAGAGCTACTGAGCATCCCCATTTGCTGAATGAGTGATTAATGATGCCATTAGTGCTGGAAAGCAGCATTTTAGAAAATTTTTTCTAACTCCCTTGCTCGACTGAGAGATGATCTGCAGCCCTTCAGCTCAGCAGGGCTGTGCCAAGCGATGCACACCTCTGGACCAGCCACAGTGTGGGTGCAGTGTCCCCAAATAGTGGGTGCATTTGCCCACAGCAGCCGGCTGCCCAAGTGTCCCCAGGACTGGCATGCCTTCTCCCCAGTGCCCAGCGGCACCCAGCCGGCTGTGCCCCCTTGCTCTGCTCGCTGCAGGCTGGCAGGGCATAGGTTTTGCAATGCAGCTGCTACATGTTCTTTTATTTGCAAGAGTTTCCAAGCCTTGCACACCATACGCAGAACTGGGCTGCATTTAGGCAGTTGCATTACACTGGGCAGTTGCACTATCCACTGAAGCACAAGTCAACCATTCATCATTTCCAGGAGCCTGCCCATTGCTCCTCTCTGCAGAGTCTGGAGACTGGGATGCAGAAGGCTCCAGCACTGAGACCCCCACTCCTCCACCTGCCCAGATCTTTGCCAAGGGATTTCTGCAGTTTTCCAGCCACAGGAACAGTGCAGGCTGCCCAAGAATCACTGAGTGACACTGATACTGCTCTGCACTGAGCAGATGTTTACTCTCTGCTCTCTCACTATGTGTCCAGTAGATCTTCATCCCAACACGTCCTGTCCTCACCTCCTTTTCTCACCTCTCAGGTGCTCCATTTCCAACCAACAGCCTTGATACACCCTGTGCAATCTGTGGCCCTGTGTGAGGCACTGAACTTCTTCCCAATGCAATTATCAGCAGCTGCTTCCCTGCAGCTGAGCCTTCCAGCTAACCATGGAGGAAAGAAGAGAGACAAGGAGTGAGCATTCATTCTGCAGGGAGCTGGGCATGAAGAGCAGAGCTGCTGTTCCCTGGAACCTTCCCCTTTTCCAGCCAGAAAGCCTGTCCCCACACAACTTGATGTTTATCTGGAAATCCTGGTTGGTCCCATTGCACGAATTGGACCATCTCTACAGCAAGCCTGGCACGTTGCATTTGGTGTACCGAATTCACCACTATGCACACAGTGAACCCCATGTGCTCAAGAAAGCTACTGGCCGTGTGTGATCCCTGAGTGCTGTTGATGCATGCTAGGTCCCAGGGTCTCAGAAGAATGGGACTCACTTGACATGCTCATTCCTCTTTGGGTAACAGCCCAACTCTATCCCATCACTTGCACCCAGGCTACAGAGACATTTATCGCGCTTTTTGCTTCACAGCCATGGAGATGAGACCAGGGCTCAGTCCCCCAGCACCCCTGCAACACCAAACCCACCTTGGGCAAGGCGTTGTGCAGGTCCCTGCTTCACCTGCATCAACTGTCCCACTAGAGTAACAGCAAATGCTCAATTTCCTTGCCACCTCAGGTGAAAACAGCAGCATAGCTCATCATGCCTGCCCTTGGGAACCGTTTTGACCCAGTAAATTGGCAGCCCCACTCCCGAGCGATGCAGCTCTGCTCCCTCCCTGTCTAGGACACTTGGCACTTAGAGGTCCTTCTGTCAGCACAAAGGGAATAGAGCAGTACAGGTCCTACAGCATTCCTCAGCTGCGCAGTACTTCAGATAAAACCTGCTCTTAAATGACAACCATAACTCTATGGGAAGATAAGATAAGTGAAAGAGTTTACAACCTACCCAAGGAACTGTGTGATCTGAGAGCGTCAAAAACAAGACCTGGTGTCTCCAAGGCATCACACAGCCACCTGCAAGACTCCCGACCCCACACTGACTCCAGAGCGGGCGAGAGGATGATTTATGCTGCACTGCGCCCCCCTGAGCTATTTACTCAGTTGGGAATTTGTCCTGTTGCCCCTCTCCACTCCCCACTTGGGAAGCACCAGCTAAAACTCAGCTCTGGCCTGCAAAGGACCTTTGACCAGGAGTTGAGGGAGCGCTGGGGGCTCTTCTCTATCTGCAGCTCATTGACGTCCCCCAGTTAGCCTACTGGGAGGCTGGCTGGGTACAGCAGCAACAGAGTTTATCCTCCAGTATCTTTTACTGGTTCTGCTGAAACCATCTTGGTACCAGAAAGATAGAAAGGGTGGGCAGAAAGAGTACCTTGTGCTTGCAGATTCCACTGACACAACGCAGAGGTGCCCGAACACTTGTGCCAGTGCCCCGCACTCCTGCTGTGCCCATGCACCCCCCTGCCCAGCACACTCCTTGAGCGAAGCATCCCAGAAAATCCTTCTGGGTATCAGAGTCAGAAGGGACTTCTTTGGTCTGGTCCATTGCTTACATGAGCTGCGGGACCTTCTCGCAGCACCTCGTTTGAGCTAGATTCACCCTGCTAGAAAAAAAAGCTATTCTCAATTTAAAATGTCCAGTGATGGCAAGTCCGCTGCTGCACTTGGGAGTGTGTTTCAGCAGCTGAATGCACACACAGTTGAAGTGTGACCCCTGTTTCCAGACTGATGCCAGTGCCCAGCCCTGGCTTTAGCTGAGGAGCTCCCTGCTACAGCTGCTTGCAGCTAGGTATGCTCTCACGGGACTGCAGCCAGCTCCCTCCTCACCTTCCTTGTGACCAGCAGAGCTCTTAGAATCTTTTCATCTACTATACTGCCTGCTTTCCAGGCAATGTATCTATTGCAGCCCTAATTTTCCAACATCCTTCTTGCACTGGGGCACTAAAGCAGAGCAGACTCTTTTAGTAAGACCCCAAACATGAAGTCAGCAGAAGCTGCCTTCATGGACACTTGGTGTTCAGCCATTAGGCTACGTCTTGACGCTGGAACAGGACCTTCCCTGTGCAAGCAGTATTTCCCAGGACAGTCTCCCTTTTTGCTTCGCTCCAGCTTCAAGGCAATCCTGGTCACTGCCTCTGCTCTGCCCCAGGTCCCCTCTTCCCCAGCCTTGCTGTTGCTGTTCACCTGCACAGCAGGCAGTGGGTTGCCCATCACCTCCCAGAAGCAGCCCTGCAGCCACTGTGTTTGCCTTCCAGTCCAGTGCATCTCTGCTGACTCCTCACCCCCACCTCTTGCTGGAGGAGGCCATTTGCCTCCAGGTCCTGATGGCCCTCCAGCACTTCTCTGAGCTGCAGCAGAGCTTGCAGAGTCAGCAGCACTTCGTTATGTGAAGAATTAATCCAACAGAGTCCAGTGCATCCCTTTGCAGAACAGTCTAATACGTAAATTCCCATCACAATGAAAAAAACCAGTTTATTCCTGGATGAACTTGCCTAATAAGAAGAATTTATAGCCCATGAAGCCCCTTCAGTTTAGCACAAAGTACATAGATTATTCCAGAATATTATCACAAGCAATAGCTCAATTTAAAGCAAATAGCTGCCAGGCTCCTGCTGTGTCCCACACACCTGACATCACTCTCTCACTGGAATAAAAGCTATTTCAAACTATGTTTTCTTTCACAAGGACAGAGCCTGCTGAGTTGTTGGCCATCAGACTAACAGAACATGCTGCAGAAAATGCACATCTACCCTAGAAAAGTAACACCAGCCTGTAAGGCATGGTACTTGGGACAGGCACTCTTTAGACTTCAGAAAACTCTTAAATCAGGGTAGTGAAACTGTACACAGCTGAAGAGTGTTGCCTTTAGCAAAAAATTTGGAAAACCACATCCTTGGTGAAAGAGCAAATTGAAAGATATGAGCTCAGCTAGAAGAGCAAGGCACTGCAGAAGTGATGGAGCACACGATCTACCCCATCAGCTCCACCCATGCACTACTCATGGTGCTTTGTAAAACTACTAAGGCTATAAATTTATAAAAAATTGTCAGGGCTGTCTAACGCAAGCTGAGCAGAGTCTGTTGAGAAATTCTGCTACAGAACATCACATCTTTCTAAGACAAGTCCCAGGACAGACGGTGCAGGGAACAGCAGACCTTCTGGTAAAAAACAGCTGTCACTTGCCCGTGATGTCATTTTTTTAAGATGAAGGAAAAAAAAAATTATTTTAGTAAGTTAAATTATCATCTCCAGAAATGCTAAAGAACAAGATTGGGAGGTCAGTTTGGGTTATAAGATCTCTCAAGTTTTATCTGCAAAAATTTTAGGCACTTACTGTCCATTCTCCAGGTCCTTCACATGGCACACGGATGCTTCCACCACATCCTTTGGGTTGTGGTAGGGGTTGCTGGCAATGGGATGCTCCTCGAGATGATAATGCCGGGCAGTCCCATTGACTTTGTAGATCAGCGGGCTGGCTTTCCCATTGGGCGACATCTCCTCCTTGCTTCTCTCCTTCTCGGGTATCACAACTTCAATTTTCACTTCAACTGTAGGAACAAACAAAAATCTTCATTAAAATTAAGCTGGAGGTTTTATTGTCATTCTGCCTGTCCTTCCTTCCCTGCACTTCAAAAGGGACTGACAGACATCAGAACAGACATTTTTTGTTGGCTTGCTTGGGAAGATAAAACATTTAATAACAAACTCAGACTGATGACCCGAGTCCATTATCCCACTGTTCTTTCTCCATCGGGCACCTCTGCATGCACAAAGTACATATTCTTGCAAGCAGACATCAGTCATCAGTGCAAAACAACCCCTCAGTCACAGTTCCTGTCCTGTTTAGTGGAAAACAGCTTCAGGCAGCAAAATGGGAAGCACGCCAAGGCCTCTAGGGCTCAGGCAGACTTCAAAAACACCTTTAATTGTTTGTGGATAACATTAACTGAAAGAGAAAGCCAAGACTGCATGGTGTATAAAGCTGCTTCATTAGACGGAGATCAATTAATAAGGAACTAGAAATATCCAAAATTATTTCTGCATGAGGTTTTCAGCAAAGAGTAAATCTTCAGCATAAAGTGAGAAAAGCAACTATTGCCCATTTTACTTAGGTGTACATTATTGAACAGGTTTGACAGTAAAAGCATCCCCGGCCAGGGGCCCAGGGGGCCCAGGGACAAGTGGGAAATGCTTGTGCCAGTGCAGCACACCCCCCCCAACTATCAGAGGGGACACTAGAGCCAGCAGGTCCCCTCAGCCGCACTGCCACCCTGGGTGCTGTCACGGGGCAGCGATGGAGCAAGGCAGCCCCTGGCATGGTACAGCCAGGGCC